TGAATGCATGATCAATAGTTGATTACTTTGTACAATATACAGGATAACATGTGGCCAGTTTTACACAACATTGAAGTTTAAATATTGAATGTTTTGAAATCTAGTCGACCAGAACGTGCTTATCTAAATTTGTGCAGCAAACGTTCAAGTCATTCTGAATAAGATACAGCTGGTTATTTGCAGTATTTTTATTTATTATTCTAATTACATAAATTTGAATAAAGAATAGTAAAAGTCGTAAATATGTAGGAAAATTTTTACGATATTACCGCCATCGATCGTATATTCAGGTGTTGGACAATTTGTGGAAAATACCTTTCTACAAAATTCACTTGATTTTATCAGCTTTTACCTTCAAAACTTATGCAAGATTGATTGTTTTATAGTTTCTTTGTGCATAATAATAATAACTGATAATAATCGGGACACAATTGCAAAATGGAATGGAAGCTTCTTTTATTAACAAAGTTTAAATATTTTGAGTCAGAACATTGTACACTTTTGCTATTGTTTAGACAACTCCTTGCATTTTAATTTCAGGGTAACATTCTCCTGTTTCAGAAACTCAAACTCTTCAAGTTTCTTCTGCAACTCTTCGTTTCTCTTTTGTAAAATAACAACATCCTCTTGTAATCTTTCATTTTGTTCCATTAGGCTGCGTACTCTGCTAGAGTCTTTACTAGGATGCATTTCATTGATTATGTCATCAGTTTGGGACAACAGGTGTTTAATGAGATTTGCTTGAGAATTGAAATGCAATTCTTGCATTGCTCTCAAAATCTTTGTGCTCTCCTGTTTTGTGCATATGCTGACAATGTCTTTAATAGCATTAAGCAATGCAACAGAATCAGCTTCTTTTGATTCTACTTTTCTAAGAGTATCATGGGACTTTGTTTTTTCTTTACCAGCTTCCACTTGGGATGTTCCTTCTTTTGAACAATCACCAGGCCTGCTGTTTTCCTTAACAGACAAATCTGGAGTCTGATTATTCTCCTTGCAACTTCCAGAACGGCGTGCTCTATCTTTCATAACCATTTTATTCTCAGAAATTTTCACTCTTGACTCTCTAATCTTCACTCTAACATCATCTTTAACCTCTTGTTCTTTCAGATCGTTCTTCACTTTATTCTCAATTGGCTTCAACTTGCTTTCAATGGGTTTCTCTTTCCTATCAGATATTCTTACTTTCATCTGCTGTTTCCTTACATCTTGATCAGATAATTTCTTAAAGTCTTTTGCATGTAATTCTTTAATAGTTGATTGCTTTTCAATGCTTTTCCCATGCTCCCCCTTATTTTGTGGTAAACATTGCAAAGGAGAGGATGTTGCATTCCTTGTTGTCACATGTCTATCCACAGGATAAGCATTGACATTTTTAACATCAGTAGATACTAATTCTAAGTCTTCTAGGAAAGAGTCATTCATATTTCCCTAATCTCTGTTATTCTCAACAATAAATAAATACAATTCCTTTATGTATATGTAAAATGTAATACTATTAGGAACTTTCGCATGAGATGAATATATAACACATATGAGAATGCTTTTTAAATTCGTTAATCATAAACAGGCTTCTCAAGCTTTTTGTTCACCGAACATCGAAAAGAAATCGCACGATCTTTTCTGTGTAAATTTATAACAAAAATCGGCGATTGCGGTTATTTAGCACCATGAAATCAGATGAAGCGCGAAACTTTATTTACAACGGAACGATTGTCTACAACATGTCGTATTGTAGGGTAAAAATAGTAACAAATATACGTTAACCTTCGGTCAATTTATAGGATATAAATATATGTTCAATTCAAATGACTTTGTGTTGATGTAGTCAGCTGACTTATATTCGTTGCTCTGACCACACGCCATCTACGAAGAGGTTACTACTTTCAATTATTATATTTACAGTGTATTAGTCATAAGTGTCTTTCTTTTTTACGCAATTTCAGATTAAAATGGCATTTAAAAAAGTGTTTTAACACTTCCTCTAATCTTAACTACAGAATTCGCTTAAAAAATTTTTTATCCTACTTGCGCAGTTTCTGCGCCAGTAACTTGCCGCAGTTTACGTCTGTTACGTTGGCAAGGTTGACGCGCCGGTATATAAAGATACATTTTGCGTTCGATTATAGCAATTGCGTGTGGTTCGTGTTAGATTGTGGTTTGAAAGTACTTTTCAAGAAGCTCGTCTTGATCGATAATTATCGCGTTTGATACAGTAAACCACAATGAAGAAGCTTGCGTTATTTTTACAATTCGTATTCCTCGTTTCGCTTACGAATGGATTTACAAACGTTTACCCTAAACCGAGGAATGTTCCTCCCTCGAATATGGCAGACGCTGGAGAACCTCTTTTTCTGACACCGCTTATCGAAAGCGGACAAATAGATGAGGCTCGTTACAAAGCCATAGTGCAACATAAAGAAATGCTCGATGTCAGCAGCTACGCCGGTTACTTTACTGTTAATAAAGAGTACAAATCGAACATGTTCTTTTGGTTTTTCCCAGCTTTGGTGAGTAATTAAATAGCTCGATTATAATTGAATAAAAGCGTTGTTATCAGTCAGGTTTGATAGTTATGTGGAATTTAATGGGTAAAAAAGAAGAATGTACATTGTGAGATAGGATTTTTTTTTTTATATAGCATGATCCTAAGACTGCTCCTATAGTATTGTGGCTACAGGGTGGCCCTGGAGCCACTTCCATGTTTGGTTTATTCTTGGAAAATGGTCCATTCTATATAACATCAAATAAAACCCTTGAAATGCGTAAATACTCTTGGAGCAAGACCCACAATATGCTTTATCTTGATAATCCAGTTGGCACTGGATTTAGTTTCACTGAGGATGAAAGGGGATATGCTATAAATGAGACAGATGTGGGGAGGGATGTACATACTGCATTGGTTCAATTCTTTAAGCTATTTGGAGAACTTCAAAGCAATGACTTTTATGTTACTGGTGAATCTTATGGTGGAAAATATGTACCTGCTGTGTCTCATGCTATCAAAGATTACAATATCAAAGCACAGACAAAGATTAATTTGAAGGGTTTGGCAATTGGAAATGGGTTAACCGATCCACTTAATCAGTTGCACTACGGAGATTATTTATATCAATTAGGATTAGTTGATAAAAATGGAAGGGACTTGTTCCACAAATATGAACAGAAGGGTAGAGATTTGATTGTACAAGAGAAATATGTGGAAGCTTTCAACGTGTTTGATGAGCTTCTTGATGGTGATATGACCAATGAGCCTTCATTGTACACAAACTTAACTGGCTTTAAGTATTACTTCAACTACTTACGTACTCAAGATACAAACGAATCTGACTATATGGTGGAATGGCTTCAAAGGGCAGATATTAGAAAGGCTATACATGTTGGCAATTGCACGTTTAATGTTGAATCTAAGATAGTAGAAGATCATTTGAAACCTGATGTTATGAAATCTATAGCAGTTCTTGTGGCAGATCTTACTCAACACTACAAAGTCTTATTATACAATGGGCAACTTGATATTATAGTTGCATATCCACTGACAGAAAATTACCTACAGCAGTTGAAATGGCCTGGTGCAGAGAAATACAAAACAGCCCAGAGGAAACAGTGGTGGGTTGAAAAGGAATTAGCTGGTTACTCGAAGACTGTTGATAACCTGACAGAGGTCTTGGTAAGAAATGCTGGACACATGGTTCCTTCTGATCAGCCAAAATGGGCCTTCGATCTCATTTCCCGTTTTACACATAATAAAGGCTTCTAAATATTTTCATTCATCATCTTATCAGACATGTGATAATTCCTATATCTATATTTGCTACATAAAATCGTAAGGAAGCGCGTACTTATAAAATAAGGATTATCGGTGAAATTAGTTTGTACTCATTAGATGTCTAAAGAACTGATAATTAATTTTGTATTGAAAGAGGTAGTAAACATTTATTCGTACAAAAAAAACTATGTACAAGTATGTTATTGATCTGCCTTAATAAACAATTTTTCCTAGTTACATTTGCAAGGTACTTAGTATTTGTTTTCCAGAATTTTTCAGAAGTGTCTGAAATTTATATATGTATATATATAAAAAAAAAAATTTCGTCTGAAATGTCATGATCCACTAAGATCTTTAACCTTTAGAGTTTCCTCCTCCGTCATATGGCAACAATTAACTATCTAATCTAGCATGGAGATAATTAGTCTAAATATGGCAGTAAAAAGTTATCTACTATAGATTGATTTCTATGCCACTCATAGTGAGGAACATGAGGAACTGTGATTAGTGTTAGCCTTCCACTTTCATCCAGTGTTTTCAGTCCTATTAAATCATCCTTATAAACACTCCTATCACGCATATCTATCACAGTTTCGTTAACGTCGTAATATCCGAAATGACTACTTTGCCACGGCGTAATAACGTTATCATCTGGTCCGCCGATAAGTACCATGCGTTTTAGTTTGGTAAGACCTTCAGACATCGGCATTGTTCTGCTTGTTGAGTTTTTCTCATTGTTAACATATGGAAGAAATTTACTATATTTATAATATAGTTCCTGAAAAAAAGAAGAGAAGAACAATTGTAGTTTCTTTTCCGTAAAATGTTAGGAACAGAACCAAAATATACCAACTTGATGATGAGGATCGTTCCAATAATTCCCAACGCTAGTGTGTTGTCCAACTCTCGAGTAGAACAATTCGTAAGCAGATTCGCATATTAAATTAGGGAAAAATAAATGCAAAAATTTAGCTGCAAATGAATATACATGATTTGAAATGAAAGTTCCTTTGTTCTTCGTCAAAGTTGGCATCGCACGGTCACATACTTCCATACTGTCCCGCTTGCGGTGAACTCAGTGAAATGAAGTTCTTAACATTATGATCAGGAAATGTTTGCAGTATCGCTCTGGCTAATAAACCACCTTGACTGTATCCCACTAAATTTATTCCCTCGGGAAATGCTGCGCCCACAGATATCACATCCGTTCCTATTTCTTTCACTTGCTGCCACATAGGTTCCAGGCTACTCCATCCAGCGTATCTCGGAGTATTATAAACCTGGGTCCCTGGATGCATCTAAAACAAACGATAAACTAACGATTAAGCTGAAGAAACGGGGGGAAAAAAAAATTAAACGTCTCTGATCAATTTTGTAATGTTTGCCCGCCGCCAAGTTTGACGTAAGCGCGACATCTGCAACAGACTTAGTGTCACACTTGAATTACTTACTTCTTCAATTCTATTGCTGATAACTTCCATGCTTTCGCTTCCAGTGAGCACACCATGAATAACGACAACGGCACGATAACTTTCGACGTCATTATTGAATAGTGTTAAGAGTAAAATAAAACAATTAAAAAATGTATAATTTACGACAGCCATCGCTACTTAGTGAAGACTAACCGCGCTACTATCAAGTATACGTTATCACGTCCTGTTCAAGTCCGTTTCCCATTGAAATGATAACATTTCAGGGTAACTGCCGATACAGATACGCTTTGTTCGTAGCCACGGCTTCTGATTGGTACAAACCGCCTGTTACCATCACGTTGCTTCGTTGAAAGAGCGGCTTTAGGATCGATTTCACGAGCAAGGTTTCCTATAGAGATCGCTAGAAGTCTGCAGTTGTTCCCTGATGATAAAGAAGGAAATTCGTTTATCAACGTTGGAGATTACATTTGAATCACTATGACTGCACGAAAGATTGAAGTTCACCTCTGTGCGTGTGCAATTCACGATAAGCGAGGTGAACTTTAAACAGCAACGACGTTTTCTAAGAAACTGCGAGTCTCCCTATTGCTTCGTCTGTTCGAAACTGGATTGAAAGATGAAATTTTCATGATAAATTAATCACGAATGGCCGAAGCCTATGGAACGATGATACCGCCAGTGATCATGCAGACGTATATAATCAATGGCTATTTGTGATCGATAGGCCAGGGTCAATGACGCCGAAAGGAATTCAATTGCGTCTTGAAATAACGCACTGCAGAATGTAGTTTGGTCCCTAATCCTTTTGAAGCTCTATGGAAGGTTGCTGGGCACGTGGCATTTCCCGTGCTTCAACCATATATCACCCATGCTCTGACATCACCCCTAGTTGGCACACGAAACTCACGCCTTGGAGGATGAATGCCTGCTGCATTGTTTCGATCACCGTCATCCTCGATTATCACAGCTTCACTTCGCCGAAGAAACCTTTGTCACCTAGCAATTGACATCGTTGCAAGCTTCAGAAACACCTGTGCACACGTGTGTATTTAAGAATACTCTTCGTTCTTACCCAACTGTTTTTCTAAGGAACACATCTATTGGTACAATCTTACGAATTCACCAAGTCACCGACACTAAGAAGAAGGCATGAAACAGATGTCTCTCGAACAGAGACACGTTAATCGTGACGATCGAAGAAGACAAAGATTCTATCTGTTGTCACTGAAATTGTCGATAATTGTTCAAAGGAAAATAGAGATCTTTCCTATTGTCGTCTCGATTATCGACGTGCACGGAAATTCACACAGATTTGCACGTTATAACGATAAGACAAAGGTATATACAGGCACTCTGTTCTCTCACAGAAATTGTAATGTCGCGGGACAATTTAACCGGAAGTAGTACCTGGGAACGAAACAGTGCTTACGTATTTCTGATGTCGCATGCTGGCTTTAATCGAGTCCCCAGAAGCTTCGAAACCCAGCATCGTTTCTTTCTCTCGCCTACGAGGGAAAGAAACGAAGGGGGGAAAAGGAGAAACGAGAAGAGAGGAAAGACGGCCAATCCAATTCCACGCTCAAACCCGACCGTCGTGATGGCGGAGGGTGGCGAAAAAACGCAGCCACGCCAGAGCGCAAGGCGAGCGTAGGTCTCGGAGCTTTTTTGCGTTTAATCAAGGATATTCGCGGTCGGCTGACTCGCTATTTTAGTCCACCAAGTGCTAACCGAGCCGCGCAACCACCAGCGACGACCATATCGCAGGAAGTGGATGAAGGAATCTTCGTCCTTTGACCTCTCAGGGACGCTCCTATCTGTCTTTCGCGTTTCATCGTGTATTTTGTGTTTTTTCGTTTTCTGTTTTCTATGGAACATTTTCTGCATTAAGCGCTTCGATGTGTTTTTTTTTCCCCGAATTATCGGTGAAAGGTAATATAATTGAGATATATTTAAGATGGAGATTCATATGGAAGTTTAGCGGTTCTTTAGTAGGGAATTTAACTTTCATTCATTTTGATAAAAGGATTATAACGATTATCGTATTATACGAAATATTGTTCCGCGGAAAATTCGCTTGATTTCACAACGAGAAGCCACAATAAGCGTTGGCATTTTTCGAGAAGTTACACACCATCCCTGCGATGATAATTTACGCGCGTTCAGCCCGTACACGGAGGTAGTAATTCTGCTTCCAGTTTTGTAAATTCAAATTGTACACAAAACGCGCGACGAATGAACACCGCTTCCACGGTAATATTTGCAAAAATATGCGGGGGCCACCGTTGCTGCTTATGTTTTTCATCCTGCTGCTGTCTTTATTTGATTACGAGGATAAAAAGGACCGATAAAATAACATTCTTCACTTCCTCGTTTTCCCTCTTTTTATTTAAAACGTCGAAAAATGAAAATACAAAGAAAACCGTGCAAAGCACAGAATAGGCACTCTCCTCGTTAATTTTCTAATAGACACAATAAAATCGTTTCTTTGTTTCTTTTTTCGCACGATATCGTTCAATTTTTCAGCAAGAGTTTTCTATCTTCACGAGGAATCATAGATCCACTTCATTCGAGAATCGACTCGAGAGCCTGTTTAAGGCCACCCTCTCTGGCTCGGTAAGTACAGAGGCAGGAGAGAAGACGAAGTGGGTGGTACGGTGTCGGAGGAACGGCCGGGAGATTAGCGTTAATTACAGAGTTGAGCCGTTCCGGGGTTGGGATGGGTGCGAGGTATTTGTCACTCGGCACTGCTCTCGACTCCTGTTCCTCGTTCTGAATATTAATAACCCCGTGCCATCCTTCGCCAAAACCCCTCTACACCTCCTCCGTCTCCTCCTCTGCCTGTCTCACCTCTCGTTTTACGACACCCGATGAATTGCGCGGCAGACAACGCTACTCATTATGCTGACTGCTTGATTTCATCAGCGTCACCGCTGGCGCAAAAATTAATCGTCCCCCGTGATCGGGGTGAATTAAGAGTGAAAATCAGCTCGCGGATTCTCCCAAACGAGAGTTTGCCACCGGTGTGCAAACAATTCTTCTAAAAAAGAAGAAGAAAAAAATTGAACGATGCTACGGTTTCAACCCCTACCAATATAAGCCTCGTCGATCAATCGATATCATCCTCTTTTTCGTCCTTTCTGCGGTTGGTCCCTCGATGGCGGTCCCATTCCCGCGCAAAACGTTCAGATATTCAAAGTCGGGGAATAGTTTATTCATGGCCGGCTCGGAGAACTTAGAAAGATATTGGAAGCGGCCCAGGAGAGGGTGGAGGATGGAAAAGGAAACGGTGGAAGCTTGGAAAAAAGCGGGTATAGAAGAGAGAAAGAGAGTGGTTGAGAGGAGAGGAGCGATATTGGTCGGACGGAAGTGTCCCCTCGGGGAAACGAGAAAACGGGAGGAGCGTCGTCTCTCCCCCGATCCGATAAAGCGAAAGAGGGACCCCCTTGTGGCACAGCCACCACTCCTACGCGTTGACCCACGTGACAGCGAGCCCGCCAATAAAATTCAAATAAACTCCGTCGTGCATACTAAATTATCACATCTTCCATTACCCGACCGCGTGCCTATCCCCCAAACATCCACCTTCGAGTCCCTTGGAAAACCATCGTTTCACCGTCCTGTCGAAATTCCGATATTCTTTGACTTTTCTCAGAGCGATCTTACTGTTACCGCAATAAATAGATCCACAATCCTTGGTGAACAATATTTCAAAAATTCGTATGTACAGGTTCGTAGCTCCGAAAGGGTTAAAAGTATTACCTCCTACATCTCTATACTTTAGATAAAATTAGCAAACGTAATAAATGTTAAAAATTCTGTTGCGAAAGTCGGCTCGAGTCTCGAAGAAAGAAATCGATTTCGAAATATTACGAACGATTTAATACCCGCAGTGGACAAGCGTGTTAAGTCCACGACAAGGACTTATCGTTCGTACCGAGATATCCCGTTTAATTGATCGCTCTACGACCAGAACTTAATCTGTTTTGTCGGTCTGGTTGACGGAGAAGACCGGTGGATTTAACGATCGACAAAGCGTCGCTGTTTTAAGAGGAGATTAAAAAGGGTGAACACTCGATTATTGTACACGGTGTATCGGTAACGCCATCGTGATGTCATTAATCCAATGTGTTGGGTGTATACGCTGAGAAAACGGGAATGACTCGTCCATCGAGAGAGCGAGAGGGTCCAGCGATACTGATGAAGGGACGTGGATGGTCAGGTGGCCTTTCCCAGGAACGCCCCAGATTTCAACATTACTCAAGTAGGATCAACCTGCCAGGAAGAAGGGCATTGTTCGTCTTTCCATTGCTGAGTTTTCTTCCGCATCGTCGTTATATCCTTCCTGCCTCGACCACTTGGATACGCGATATTTTTTTCGAAACAATTACTCGAAAGAATAAATCTACAAATATACACCGTACTGTATTCGTTCGATCGATCAACTTCGTCAAGATTTTCAAGCGAATTCATTCAAGATCGTCTATGAAATTAGAGATTAGGTTACGAAGCTACCATCGATAGAGAAGTGTGTATTTATTTGAATTTCATGGATTCTTTTTTATTCACGAGAGTATAAACGTGTTAAAGGTGCACAGGAATTAACCAAACGAAGTTTCCACCGTGTAAAACAATTAGTAGCTTAGCCGTGCCCCTACTCTCCCTATCAGCTTGTCTACGCCCCGACTATTAGTATAATCGCCGGAGGCTACGACCCTTAGCTAGCAAGTTAGAGTCACCCCACCTACCCCCAACTGCGATCTGAACGCGACTTTGCGCTTTGTTCCTCTCGAATCAAGCGTTCAACTACGTCAAATGTATTTTGTTGCCTTTCAGGAGAGCATCTCGATAGCGTAGAATTGTCTGTGCACATTTTATCCTCCTTAAACTGCCTCTTTTCCCTTCTTTTTTTATTAAATAGATCGCAAATCATTCTTAGAACATCATTTATGTAAGATCATTATTATTAATTCCATTCAGTGTGTTGCTAGGTTTCAATTTTCTGCTCTGCTAAATCATTCATTTCGATCACCATCGACACGCGTAAACATCTGAGTTTTTCATGAGGGAATTAGGCGACGTTTTTCCGGAAAAGCGTGCTCCGTCTTTCGTCACGTCGACGATAAATGTGACGGTTCCGCTGCGTGTCTAATTGATTTCCGTCCTGGAATAGA